CCTGCGTTGTGTGCAAAGTTTCTTTGTGCGCCGGCATCCGTACAGCAACCAGTCTCGGCGTTTGGCCACACTTGACCTTAATCGTGTGCATGTGGTTGGAGGGCATTAAGCCCCATACTAAAAGTTCAGTCACTCAGCCACCGCGATTCTGATTAAATTTATTCCGTGTTTTGCGAAGATACTTCTATGCTCTGTACCTGACGCTTTCACATCCCCACTAACGGTAAACGTGGCGTTGGTGATCATGAGTGAAATGCCGAAGAGTTTTCACCAGGTAGTTGAGCTTTTTATAAACCAGACGTTGATAATGTATCTTCGCAGTTTCCCTCCCCCCCTCACTGTTGCCACCCGTCCCTTTTCGTTACATGACGTCATTACTTGAAGTTCAACGTTAACTTTAGGATTTTCATGCCCTGTTTACTGCTACTCTGTAGCGCCTTCCTGACACGTTAAATCCAGTCCTGCTCGCTCATAATGCTCACAATTACTCACATACATTCCATTTAAACATTGCAATCATCCACTTCAGATGCGAAATGAGTAGACTTCCTGAAGAAAGATAAAGCGTAGATAACGATGGTTATCTGTCGTATCAGCTGAACTTTGCGGTATATCACACCCCGAAGTACTGAGACTACGCTGCTGCCAACCCAAAGTTTTCCAATGATGTTATGGTTTTTCCTCTTCTTTTCCATGACCCTTTGTTTCTCCAAAAGATTTGTTGTCTGCGGACTCCAAACTGCTCTGTTAAAAAACGTTGACTCACGCCATTCTCGGTTTGCCGCAGTAGAGTAACTTTCAGCGCAAGACTTAACACCTTGTTATTTAAGGACAGTCGTGTTAAAAGATGGGGTATGTGATGCAGTGCACATGCATGTTATAAAGATAGGGGCAACAACTTCTTTCGATGTGCCTTTATCTATGTGCAATGTCTATTAATACATAAAACCGTAGAAAGCTTTTTAGAGTCGCACGTATCAACCGTATCATGTGGGTGGTAGCGAGCGTGTTCCTGCGCTATCCTATCACGGTGTATGATTAATGCTTAAATAACTGATCAGTAGTGTGTGTGTACACCGTTTTTGCATTCATTCTCGATTGGTAATCATCTCACTGAATGGCAGGTGCTCACTCGCGCACATACTAACGTACTACCAATATTACACGTGGTACTACACCTGCATTCTCTCACCAGTACATATAATACATTTGAAATGGAATTTTCAGACCGCTTAAAATTGGATCAGTTTTCCACTCTGTACGATGAGGAAGTTTTCTCCGTATTCTGAGCTAAACACTTCCGGTTTCCACGAGGTGCGTCGTTACCTGCTGATGGTTTGCACGATGCAAATAATTCAATTTGTGGCTATAAGTCTTACCTTCAGACTTATACCCTTATACCAGATGGCAAATCTCCACCAAGTTTATATGGTTGTGGAACTTCTTTTACCGGTTGGCATACACTCTAAATTTGCGTGTTACGGTGTTCACAGATTAATTTTTATCGTACCTTGACTGTTCATTTGGGCTGTTACATTGTCGATCTAAAAAAGGAGGTTTGTTTCTTTTAAATTACGAGTCATCCATTTCGGTGCGGTAACTGCTATCTAATTGGCTATTCATCATCAATGAGAGATCTCACAACTACCTTACAGATATGTTCTGTTCGTTGAATTTTCACCAGAAATTGGTAAACGATTGAACGTTGATTCCGAAGTCAGTCATCATTTCCACAGGTACTGTTCTAGGCTCTTCGTTAAGATCGAGCGTGAACTAATTTTGTCTATTCGGCTGGAACTACACTAAACCGATTGGAATACATTTGAAAATCTGCTTCTAGGTTGCGGCTTAAGCCAATGCCGTTAGTTATTCACGGTTTGCTCTTATCATCATGAAATATGGACGCCTAAAAGGGGGGTGTAGATACAGTCGTACCCCTACGACTATCAAAGGAGAGTTCTTCCATATTTGTGTTATCTCACGTTTCAAGGTCGGATAGGGACACGAAAAATACGCACTGCTGACAAGTCCCAAACAGGACGAAGCTGCTTTTCCTGTGTCTGTTACCCGAGAGGTTTCTATCGCAAACAAAAAGATAGGATAATTGTGTGTGCGGTTAGCCGCGGAAGGCTCGTAATAAAGTAACTTGAGGCGTCGAATTCTGGAGATCAACTTATCCCACCGAATGGAAAAGTCGCCGTGGTGACTGAATGTTCTCTGAATTAAGTGAAAATTGTCCTCTTTGAAACTTGTCGTTTTACAAGCTAATGTTTCATGGGGTCAACGAATGGATCTACTCAAGACGAATGTTTTCATCTTTATTTTTAGACTTGGGAAATATGCTTATCTTCAGGATGAAACTTATCCAGTAATCTCCAACAGCCTGAATCTTATTTTAATCGCAAGCATGTTTCTGTTTCATGGCGAGAAGTTAACCTACTGTTCACTGTTGTCCCCGTAAGTCAAGTACGTGATGAGGTGAAAAATAAAATAACTTCGTAAACAAGTTGATGGACTGTGCTGAAAACTGAAAGCAGGACCAGTGTATCTAAACCTCTATTTATATTTTTTACCAGCATTGATTGATTTGCCAAAAAAATTCTTTTGGTTCTCCCTCTGATTGCAATCCATCATGTTCTAGGCAAACTGGTTTTGGGTAAAATGGGGGTATCGGCTAAGCAATTTCATTTACGAAAAAAATCCAACTACGTGGATTATTGTTCAAGAGCTGTTTCACGTTTCATTCATTGTTTATTGTTGTGGTATCGAAGGAAACGTAAGTTGTTTTTCACAGTTTCATTGCACCAGTTTCGGTTAGACCTTCACGGAAACAGCGTTTGATTTGGCACTCACGTTCACCTAAATACCGTGGCGCTGTGTAGGTGCCCCCACCCCCGTAACAAGGTTTTACCCGATCCAGTTTTCAAGAGTATTGTTAACATTGATTTTTCCCCTACGATCCTCATCCTCGCGCGCTCTACTGCATACCTGTGTGCATGCAACTTCGGTCTGTATTTCTATTACTCACCAAAAGCTCGATAATTTCCATCGCGTCCCGCTAACGCCGGTCGTGGAAAGCCTAACCGCATCTGCCGTGTTCCAACTTCTGGACAATCGAGTCCCGGCCGTTCGTACTGTTCCAATCGCCGATTGCCTGTCCGTCTGTCCCTGGGATGGCAACCACCCCTTTTCTCTTGTGTAGACGGGCATTCGATGCATCTCAGTTTCCTAAAAGGACGTGCTACGTACACACTTGCGCCTGCTCAGCTGTTTCATCTTTGTTTGCTCTTAGCAGAGAAGCAATCTGAAACGAGTGTGAGAGTGACAGTCGTTTGAACTAGACACACAATTCGAACGCCTGCATTCTGTTCGGAAATTAGATATATCTCTGTTTTGTTTTAGTTGTTGCTTGGTCTCTTATGCTGGTTTTTCCCGCTAATCGCCTTCTGTAATGACAATCAGCCCAAACAAGCACGTGATCGGTTGCTAAGAGAATTCGAGATCACATATCTCAATAATTTGTAGTTGGATCTGGTCTTTTTGTATGAAATAGCGCTTGTCGTATGTTCCCGTACTTTCCATTTTCACAAATGCATTTTACCATCTTGTTCTTAGGTCGAGGCGTGAAGCTCTACTACATTGGTGGCGAAGTGTTCGCCGAATGCCTAAGTGATAGCGCCATATTTGTCCAGTCCCCCAATTGCAATCACATGTACAACTGGCATTTGGCTACCGTGTGCAAAATTCCCCCGGGCTGTAATTTAAAGATATTTAACAATCAAGAATTCGCCAATCTCCTAACAGAGAATGTCACTCGTGGATTCGAGGCGGTGTACTCATTGACTAATATGTGCACCATTCGAATGAGCTTTGTCAAAGGATGGGGTGCAGATTACCGGTGAGTCCCGTACTTCTCTCTTTCATTGGTTGTCTCAGTTTTCTTCATACTATTTATTGTTATGTATTTTTCTCCGTGTTTCATCGGTAAAGGTACACTCGAGACAAAGCACTAATTGAGTACCATCATTCAAGGTAGGAACCTCGGGATTGGTCTAATCGGTGACGTTCCTGAACGGTGTCACACTGGGATCAGCTCGCTCTCTACTTCGATCTAATTTTCTTGCCCTGTGTATTTTACTTTGCTGATGCCATTTAAGCTCTTTTGTTTGTTCCTTTCTCAGTGATCGACCGATCCGGGCGCCAGTGCACACTAATAGAAACTGCTGCACGATAGTTCAAGGTTAATAATTGTGTGAACTCAAACTGGCGGTTGTTACCGAGTCAGCAGCCTCCGAGAAAAAAAGATTTGTTTTAAAAATGTCGTTTCATGACATGCGTAATGCCAACCTAAGCGATTAATGACGCTGTACCGTACTGTACAGACTCAGTATCATACAGAGTTCACAAGTCTAATGATTTCGGGGTTCAGTTCACTTTCTACAACCATTAACCATGCACTATCGTGCACCCGTTTTGGTTGCTTTCTTCTGTCTACCCATTTGGATGAACATAGGGAGAAAGACAGGAAAGGCTGAAAGTAGGATCAAAGAGAAATTTTAGAATTTCATTGCGTTAATTTTGCAAAGAACTCGGGGTTCGTATATAAACTAACTCGCGCAACCGCAAGTAATGTTGGCACTCGTATCGCTAATTGTATTATTGATGTGAGTAATGATAGTGATAACGATGATACGATCCTACCTTTCTTGCCCTTGTTTGCATGTCGTTTATTCAGACTTGTTCAATCTATGGCTTCAACCCCAACGCAAATATTAAGCCCATTTTGAAATCAGGTTATAGATTAAAAACACGACTAACTCTTGTTGGTCGTTTTTTTTATATGGTGTGGACGGCATGCAAATCCTCCCGTTTTCAGTTGGAGGCGAGCATTTTTCAGTTGAAAACTATTCCTGATTGCTTTACCATTCATTTGTACACTCAGAAAGGATTCTTTGAAATAAGGTTTTCTAGAGTAACCGGGCTCATTAAGGAAAGCGCGTATGTATGCCATCCTGTAGAGTTCTTTTAAATTTGTACATCTTGTTTGTGTGCGTGATTTACTCAAAATGGAGTAGTGACTTGCACGTGCTTGCTCAAGACTAGCAGAAGCCGGTGCCTGCACTCACCCTCTGTAGTGATAGGATGGAAGTGGTTGATAGCTTTAAGTACCTCAGGAGCTTGATCGCAGCTGATGGTGGTGTTGGGGACGAGATCACATCACGAATAACAAAAGCTAGAGCAACTTTCGTCAACCTGCGACACCTGTGGCGCCACCATGAGACCCGACTGCCCCTTAAGGGAAGGGTATACTTCGCCGCGGTTCGTGGCTTTCTGCTTTACGGTAGCGAGACCTGGCTTCCGAGTGGAAGATGCCAATTGACTTTCTGTGTTCGACCACCGAGGTCTCCGAAACGTTGCTCGTGTCTGGTGGGAACATGGGGTGAGCAGTAACGAGGTTTTTCCGTCGTGTGTTGGGTGTTGATGGCCGTTCTCTAACAGAAGTAATCGCTCTACACCGCCTTCGATGGCTTGGTCACGTATTGCGTATGCGTGCCCACCGCTTGCCTTTCCGTGCTATTTTTAAACGTGCCGGGCAAGGCTGGAAAAAGCGCCGCGACGGTCAGACCACGACATGGTGTAGAGGCATGGAGAAGCTGGTTTCAGCTTTGGCTTCGGGCGGTGCAGCCCGCCTTCCAGGTTAAGGCCCAAGGGATGATGATTCCTGTTTGTTAGGGACACTGAAATATATGGTCCAGAACAGAAGTCAATGGTGCGAATGTTGTACGGCCTGTCGAAATCCCGTGCCCCGTAAAAAACGACAAAGACAAAAATATAAAAAAGTGTACGGTGAAACACAACGATTTGCTTTGTTATTCCAGTTATCCACCATTTTCCATTTTAAGTGTTTCACCTCTCCACTCTGTTCTGTATCCCAATCCACCCATCCTCTGTTATTGTTATTATAATTATTTTTGTGGCGTTGGCACAATATATATATATATATATATGAGTTCGGTGATCATACATTGCCCAGCCTTGGATTATCTCTTTCTGGATATTTACTTTGCAATCGTATAACAAATAAATAAAAGTAAAATAGTTTCCATGATCACTAACCAAAGGCTATATTGTAGTCTCTTATATCGAGTAATTTTTGCCTAAGTCGTACACGTTGTCTGTCAAGAGAAATTCTCTATTTCGACTCAATAATGGAGTTCTAAAAATTTCTGTCGTGTCACTTTCTACTGGCAAACTACCTAACGGTGTTCCCCGAGTTAGAATAATCCGTTAAAACTTTTGAACGTCTGCGTGGCAACGTTTACTGTTAGCATTCCAATGTTTCCTCGATTTATAGATTATGTTGATGTAATTCGATATTAATTTAAAAGTGGTATACAATTGTTTGCACCGCGAATTATCTGTACCCTATTTTAAGCCCACAACCAGTAAAAGTTGACACAAATGGACGCGTCTCTGGAACGCAAATAAGACAACTGGCACTTCGGTGGTCAACCGTGAATCCCTTTATTTAGTAGGCGGACGCAGCAGTGCTCGAGTTTCTAGCCGGATTTTGCGTTGTAAGTGATCTATCTGCCACAGGGAGTGCTAACATCCTTTTGCTTGGGAATCTGGTCAACGGAGAAATAAGGTTCTCGCTATCATAATGTTGCCGTACAGATACTACTTTGCTATGCTTTAGACTCACTGTCGAAAGAAGGGTCCAGTGGTACTGTGGGTGCTACCTTGTATCGCAATCTCAAGATCCTTCGTGTACTCCGCCACAAATCCGACCTGACCTAATGTAGAAAAAAATAGCTTTACAAGAATGTAAGCATTGTCCTACTGTGCAGTTTTAGCCAGCAGCTGTCCATACACACTAACTATTTCTCACTTCGTTCCTTTGTTTCACAGACGACAGACCGTCACAAGCACGCCGTGTTGGATCGAGATACATTTGAACGGACCGCTTCAGTGGTTAGATCGGGTCCTCAGCCAAATGGGCTCCCCAGATCATCCGTGCACCTCAGTGAGCTGACTTCGCGAAATTCATTTTTCCTCCACTTCTCTCCCATACATTCTCACTCTCTGCATCACTGTCCTGTCTGGTTGGGCGAGACGCCGACTTGGTGACGTACTAATGTGCATACTATTGCCTCACACCTGCAATTGGTCTCATCAAAAAGTTTTATCGCGTGATGCAGACAAACTGACATTGATTTCCAAACATTCGTGTTTATCTGGTATTCAGCGCTACCTTCATGTCACGCGTCTATCGCTATGTGCACCTCGCTACAGTCCTTCACTCATCCCGTCTCTTGAACATAAGAAGCTCAGTTTTGATTTCCGAGCATTCATTGATAGTCTCTTCCTCATCTTTTTGGTTGTTGGTTGCATGTATCATCCTCGCCTATGCCCTCGTCCCTGTCTGGCAGTGATAACTCCGACTGCCAAAGTCTTTCGCCTATTCGGGTCCTTACCTGGATAGCGATCATCGATACCTATACATTTATAAATATACACTCATATGACTACCGATTGCATCCATAATTCCCGAGGCGTGAACGGATCCATCTACCTGAATCCCCACATTTTCATTGCCCTTATGACTCCTCAAACTTATCAGGTCTCACAGGAAAACCTCTCTTTCCCGTCCCCACGAGTTCGTGAAATGTCTAGTTCATTTTGTGTCACCTCATTTTCACGCGGTCGTCACAAAGGCTTTACTCCTACTTTCCTCCAAATGTGTTCTCATGTTCTTCTTTGCCCGACCCACTTACGTACACCGATTTTCGTACATGTGTAGCCTCGTTTATCGGAGTTTTGTCTGCCTTCTGTTCGTTTACTTTTTGACAACACACCTCGCACATCCTGTTGTACAACGTCTGAAATGAAATAGACATGCATGTCCAAACAACTCGGGGACAGTTTTATCTTTGGTTTTAATTTGTTTGTTCGCTTGTTAATGAATGGATGCGTGCTACCAGACGCATTGCTTCATTTTGTGCCCTGTTTTTTGTGATCGACGCGTTTTNTTATCCCTAAGTTTTATCGAGTTCCTGACCAGATCACAGGTCTCTTTTTTTTTCTTCTGTTTGCTTCACCATCGAATGTGTAGCCTGATGCGAAACAAACTCTTACCTCGTTCGAAACAGATCTGTCGCATACATCCATCCATCCATCCGCACGCACGGATTGCACTCAAACACATTTGAATTTCATCCCCTGATCTCAGGTTCTTCTTTTATCTATGTATTTTTCACAATGGCCAACCGCTCTTTGACTTTGGGTACGGTGGAAAGATCACACTACATCTTTATTATTACCATTGCGCGGTTTCATTTCTTTACTTCTTTCTCACTCCTCGTCCCCACCGATCTTCACTCGCTTTTGTTTCTCTCCTTCGCTCCGGATCGGCTCTATTTCATAAATCCAGTTTCGTCCTACTGCGTACGTATAACATGTCCTGTGCATTTCTCTGCACTTGTTATATCCGTTGTCGTCAATACTGTTGTCTTCTCTCAGTCTCCCTTCTTTCCACTCTAAAAATGGCTGTTCCTTTTTGGTACTGTAACACTTGTGGTGCGCTAAAACGTTTTCGTCCCTTTCCCATCGTTTGTTTGCGGACATACCTCCCGGTTTGGTCTGTAATCGTGGATAACCTGTTATTTTCACCTCGTAGTGTATTGCCACATTTATTTAGTCCCATCTGGATTCCACCCAACCCGCTCTCAAGACACTCATATTCCCGTTTATTACCTTGGGTCGTTTCCGACTACCGTTTGCACATAGCTTACTGATCAAGTTCACGAATAAACGATCTCGTACATTGGGAGATAAGCGTTTCTGACTGTCTTTTTCCTCCCACATCCAAACGGATAAAATAGTTTCACCATTCTGGTAAAAAAACCTGGTGCTGCTGCCTCGTGTTATTTTCATCCCTAATTTCATCTATACCGATGGAGCGCCTCTATTTCTCGTGCACTCAGCCATTCAGCCCGGTCAGTTTAGCAGCCTGTTCCTCTTGTGCCGCCGCTTGGAGCGCGACGTGCCCAGTCCAGTTGTCTTTCTCTACCTCAGACAGGCATAGGGGTTTGTTTAATTCTGGATAAGTTTGGATTTTATCACCAATATCTTTAGCTAACGTTCAACCTCTTCACTGATGTTCCGAAACGAG